CCACAGCTAGTCAGTTGCCAGGAAAACAAAACACAGCAACAGTAGCTTGTGGGTGCGCTTACGTGGGCTAACCTGCTAAGCTAGCAGGGATAATCATAAGTCTCGCTTCACAAAATTAAACCAGGTAAAAGAACACTGAGCACTGGGCATAGTTTTTGTCCCTTTATTTCAGCTAGCTCTATTACTGTTAGCTAACGAAGGCACCAAGTATTTTCATCTTGACTATGTGCTAGATTACTATTATTAACAGGTGAATAACAGCTGGTTGGCCACAATGTGAGATACACTTACCGTTAACAGCCGAATAGCCAACTGCAGACAGTTTTGTCTTTTTTAGTATTTGAAGATGTAATAAGGTAATATTATGGAGAAACGGGCGGAAATTGCCAACATTACCGTTAGCTACCAGCTAACCATTAGAAAGCCAGGCAACATCGGCATGATACACAGCCAGATTCTAACCAATGAGAGTTGAGGAAAGAAGAGCGCGGCGCCTCTGATTGGCTTAAACCGTATAATCCCCGCCCATTCAACTCAAGGGCTCTGCCACATACCATGGACGGTCTGTGCCACACACACAACTATTAATACAAAAAGGAACATATTTTTGAAAAGAGTTTTCACTTTAAGGGGAATATTTATTCACCACACATCGTTGAAAAAAACCGACTTCTATAAGCCGACAGACACTTATAATAATATGCACACTTGGAAAAACATCTGTAATGTTTAAAAAAGCTTTAATTACAGGTATCAGAAAGTTCAACACGGTCTAAATTCTCTTAGGCTCTTTCTTGTAATTTACAAATCCTGGTGCATTTTACTTTATATAGTAACCATTGTGTAGTATTTTAGCTTTTCTTGGCACAGTATCTTCCTATTTATTTATTTATTTTTTCCATTTTTGTTTTTCCAGAATATTTCTAATTCATATTTTATTTGTGTCCCTTGTACTGTGGTAACGAGTGATTTTCCCCAGTGTGGAATTAAATAGTCTCTATATCTGTTTTAGTCTTCAGGAACAGTTCTCCGGGCTTCTTTGAGGATATTGTTCCATTCTCTGTCAAGAAGATCCCACAGTAGTTCAGTAATGTTGAGTTGCGCACTCTGTGGAGGCCAGCCCATGACTGATAGTGATCCACTGTGTGTACTTTTATCTGGGTATCCTTTATTGCATTGGCAGGGAGTTTAGAATCATTGTCATAATGAAAAATGAAGCTTTTGCCAATGAGATGTTTTCCAGGTGGTAGAACTGATGGTACTTTTCTGGGTTCATAACTCCATCAATTTTGACAAGATCATTACCATGATCACTTGCAGCCCCAAACCATGACATACTCCAAAAAGACCCGTTGTCACTGATCGTCAGCCTTTTCTCTGCTTTCCCTCTTCCCTATGAATGGCTTCTTGACAGCCACCCTTCCACTGAGACCATTTCTGACGAGGCTTCAGTAAACAGTAGATGGATCAACTGAAGGGACAGATGTAGATTTCTTAAAGAAATTACTATCAAATACTGTTCATCTGCTGTGGATAGATTTTAAGGTGTGCTACTTCTTCTGCCCTCCATTGGTTCAGTTTCCTCACATTACAAGCTATGTACACCATCCTAAAATATCTCACATTTTGGAAAATGTTATTTTTTTTGCACGTTATCTTTGGCATTTTTCATTTAGCTAAAGCCAAATTATGTATTTTTGCTACAGGCTGCTGGCAACAAAGTGCCTAAAGATACAATTTCAAAAGGATTCTTTGCCAAGTTGTCTGTAATACTTATAGACTTGTTCATCCCTTGAGTTAGGTGCCTGTTTTATGGTTGAATGATTCATAGGTCAGTTTTAAATGACTTTAAAAAAATGAAACATTCCTGCAGAAGTTCTCTGATGACTCTGCAATAGTCGGCCTCATCACTGATGGGGACGACAGGGAGTACAGAGGACTGACCCAAGACTTTGTGGACTGGTGCCAGCTGAACTACCTCCAGATCAACGCCAGTAAAACCAAGGAACTGGTGGTAGACTTCCGCAGGCACAAGCATTCTCCACTTCAACCACTGAACATCCAAGGTATGGACATTGAGGCTGTGGACAGCTACAGGTACCTTGGTGTTCATCTGAACAACAGACTGGACTGGACTCATAACTCAGACGCCCTCTACAGGAAAGGGCAGAGCAGGCTGTACCTGCTGCGGAGACTCAGGTCATTTGGAGTGGAGGGCCCACTCCTGAAGACCTTCTATGACTCTGTTGTGGCTTCTGCTATCTTTTATGGTGTGGTCTGCTGGGGCGGCAGCATCTCTGCTGGGGACAGGAAGAGACTGAACAGGGTGATCCGAAGGGCCAGCTCTGTTCTTGGATGCCCTCTGGACCCAGTGGAGGTGGTGAGTGACAGGAGAATGGTGGCTAAGCTGTCATCCCTGTTGGACAACATCTCCCACCCCATGCAGCAGACTGTGACAGCACTGAGCAGCTCCTTCAGTGGGAGAATGCGGCACCCACGGTGTGGGACGGAGAGATTTCGCAGGTCTTTCCTCCCCACTGCTGTCAGACACCATAATAAAAACTTTAACTGATCAAACACACACATCCATACATATGCAATAATACTAAGTGCAATAATCCTTTCTGTCATCGTTGTATTTTTACTCAGTTGTATATAGCATTTGTATTTGTATTCTATTTTTATCTTATTGTATATTTATTTTATTTTATTCTACTGTATATAGTATTTTATTTTATTCTATTCTGTACAGTTGTGTACTGTATTTATTCTTATTGTATCCTAATTTTTGCCTCAACTTTTGCACTGTCCACTTCCTGCTGTGACAAAACAAATTTCCCACGTGTGGGACTAATAAAGGTTATCTTATCTTATCTTATCTTATCTTATCTTAAAATGGTCAGGTACAAGGACTGGACTGAAAATGACTGAAAAAGCAGTCATTGTCCAAAGAATAACTCTAAAAATGACAAGATAGTCTGGTTTCTTGGAAGCAAAATATAAAGAAATTAGGGGTGGCTTAAGACTTCCACTCAGTACTGTAGATCAACAATTTAAGAATAGAAGTTCTCATTGTGAAAATGATATAATTACAACTATTGTATATCACCTCACTTATTTTGTGAAAACACTAACCAGCTTCATTTAGACCTTGTATAATTAAGTTCAGACATATACATTAAAACTTAACTTAAAAAAAATACAGATACCACTCTTATAAAACAAAGGGGTTTACCATTCTAACCTGCTTTTCACTGAACAATGTAAAGACCATCCTTCTTTGCAATTATAATGACATCAAATGGCGCATCCCATGGGTTTGTTTATCTTCTTTATCCAAAACAATTTTTCAACTTGGCACTTGCCAGGATCTTTAAATGCCGTTTCTAAAGCGCTTAGTCGACCCTAATAACTGAGAAGGGATTAAGAATATTAATATTGCATTCTAAATCCTTGTTATCGTGTTCTTAACACAAAAAGAGCAAATCCAAGCAAGTGTTTTATTTCAATATAATGAAAGTGATTGTGGCAAAGTGTCTACTTAGAAAGAAGCGGGGCAAAAAGGGAGGATCATGAAGCGATCACTAAAAAGGCCAAGATACAAACACAAAGAAAAATAACAATCGGGGTCAAAAGAGATTAAATTGTTGTTGTTGCTCAATGGGGCTCAGGGGATAAGGGTGGGCAGGAGGTCATGTTTCCTTGTCATCTTAAAAAGCGATTTCTATTCCGCATAGGACACAATAAACCATAATAACAGAAAAAAACTCATCAATAACGGCAACATGTCCACAATCCTCCCATAGCGCCGCGTATTTAAAATCATTGCTGTGTTTTTGTCAAAGCCCTCTGGTGAAGAATATCCACTTGAATTAACACTTAAGTCATTAAAGGAGAAACACATTGCAAATTGTATGAAATATGAAAGGCTGATACCAAATTACCCAAAAGCAAACCATCTGACAAAGCTCCGAAAATTGATTCCTGATAAATTTGCAAGAAAATTATGAATTCGTTCTCTTGTTTGGTTGTTCTGTTAACTTGTTTTTGCCATTTCGCAATACACTTTGCGTGATTGAAATAATGTTATTAATGACACACAAGTTCAATAATGTTATAAACGACACATGATTCCTGAAATGGAAAGCAATTAAGATTTAATGCCTCTGTGATGCGGGCTCTTATCCAAAATGTCTGCACAAAATAAAAGCATTTTCCTTTTCATTCTGACTGTCACTCTCACTCCATTCTTTTCTCTCCTCTCGCCAGTCACGATTTATTCCACAGGAAACAAATTACAGGCAAATCACAAGCGACAGCAATAACTCAATGACAGATTTCAAGAGAAGCAATATGTCAAGATAGAGGATGTATTTGTAAGGATAAAATGAACTTGGGCCATAATATGCACCTTTTGAGAACAAAATAATTTTCCTTGATGACTTGCAGTTGGTCGTCAATTGCAAGTTCATTTTTTCCAAAAGCAATTTCAACTCAAGTGATGATGTTGATGAAATTGTAGCCCCTATCAAAGCACTTCTAAAAGTTAATACAGGTTGGCGAATGTGTAATGCATGTGGAGTGTAACGTCGGTCATCCATTACACATGCGGCGCATTTTCGACAAGCACTGCACAACATGCGGCGTTAACCTCCGCATCAAACTTCAATCCGCGTCGTCACCCCTCTAACCTCCCCTCCAACACTTGAACCTGAGTAGATAGCTGTGAAAACGCGGTCCATTCAGCAATTATTCACAGAGTCTTGGACTAATGGTGCTCTGAATGCACAGACACAGCAAATGTAGGGAGTTAGTGGACCAGCAGTAATGGCCCCATGCAGAGCATGCGTTTTTCTGTGTGTGTGTGTGTGTGTAGCGAGGTTTTTGGGGGGAAGGGGGCAGGCATCATCTATAACAGATTCACAACAAGCTCAAACATGTCTAATTCTGAATCCAGATTACAACTGCAGAGGACAGCTCACTCCCCCCTTCTCCACCCCTCACTCTCACTCTCTGCGTCTCTTCTTCTCCTTCTTCTCCCTCTCGGTCACTCCTGCCTTCATATAAGGCAGATGAAAACATAACCTGTCACATTCCATCCCATTAAACCAGCAACAAACCATGTGGTCTACTCACATGGAGGAGCTAGGAAAGGCAGCGAGATAGACAGAGGGAGCAGTGCATCTGGGTTCGCACAGAAGTGATGAATTATTCACAATCTTTATGATAATGTCGTTTTAATGTAAGAAACACTGAAAGATATGCAGATATGAGACACGCCGTGCAAAGTGGCATGCTCACTATAAGCTTACACCACGCACGACAGGAATTAGAAATATATTTATAACTATCCATACTGCGCATACTGTACTCAAATATAAAATGTGTAATTATCCTCTGCAGTACCTAACGCATTAGAGCACTCACACTGAGCCCCCAAATCTCTCCTGTGCTTTTTTTTTCCAAGAGAAGTACATCAGCTGCCATTTGATGTCAGGCAGAGCAGGGTAATGACAGTGCACTCACTTGTGCAGTCATTAGCCCCGCTTAATGCTGGGAATTAACACAAATTAAGTGAAGTTAAGTACATGCATTAGGGGAGCTTGTTTGGGGAGAGCTTTTCACTTTTTCTGCGTAGAGCTGGCTTATTTCTGGGATGTTGAGCAAAAAGGCTGCACGGAAAGAGAGACACAAAAGTGAAGTGCAAACATCCTCCTTCAGCTTACAGCATACAGGTCAAAACTCACTGACTGATTAGCAGTGTTAATGGAGCTCTAAGGACACCTAGTGGTCATGTTAACACCACCAATGCGTAATCTCTGCAGCGAACACTGTGTCTTTTAAACTGGCGATTTCATAATTATATTCCTCTGTGTAATTTTGCACAAATTTTGTTATAAAACCTCAAGTTGCTATGTTGATCTAATGTATGATAGTCAGCAGAGCAACTGTGAAAGCAATGAAGCTTTTTATTTAAATGTTTCCCGTTGCAGTAAGGAGTTTTTACTTCACATATTTATGCCTTATGTGGCTTATTCAGACTGGTGTTTTTGTTGACTGTGGCACCACTAGATTATGCCAACAGGAAAACAGGAAGAATATATTTTAATGCTCCACTGAGCTAACATCATAAACACAAAGTGGAGTGGGTTCATTACAACACAGGAGATTTGCACGTTAGAGACGAAACTGCTGTGGGCTTTTCGAAAAGAGGCTAACATGATGAAACTGACAATCTCTGAAATCCATTTGGACCGTATTCAAGATTATATCTTTATCTGAGCGACTGCAGATTACTGTCCACAGAGAGGTGTGCTAAAGCTGGATTATCCACTTGTTGGGGATGCATCTGACCCGATGGACGCGGCATGCCAGCCTCACACGCCCTTACATCTGTGTGTTTTTTCTACTTGTTTGCAAAAGATGAGATGGCATTCAAAATGACACCAAAACCTCTCATCCTCAGATTACCATGGTTAGTGATCCGCATATAAAAAAAATGAAGTCTCAATCATTATATATGCATTTGAGAGGAAGGCACGACATGTGCCCCCCCCCCAAAAAACGGCCTAATTTACATCAGAGGCAGTTCAGTTTAAAGTGCTGCTTGTATTAACTAATAGTAATTTATTAAAACATACAAAAATCCCACGATTTAGATACACATAGATTATTGTTGTCATTAATTTCACACCAGGACATAAAAACAAACAACAGCGATGGCCGCCATATGTGTTCACCTCGTGTTCCACCTCTTCTGATTCCTACTGGGGTGGAAGTCTACCGCCATTTGGGAATCTGGAATACAACAAGTGTAAACAAACTTTTAGTTTACTCTGAGTTCTTTTTAAAAGTTTTCCATCAGGAAAAATAAGGAGAAAAAAAATCAGATATACACTGTTTTTTTCTTTTACCAACCTGCTGTCTTGTTCTTGTTGTCTGTTCCCAGCAGTGGTCGGAATGTTGCTTCCTGTTCTTCGGTTGTGTCTGAAGTAAATATCAGTTTGGCCACTTCGAGCAACGTTACTGTGTTTGTGCTTCTTACCTGGGTGGGGAGTTAATACAGGCGTAATATTAGATATCACTGAAACGTCTATCATTCTTACTGCGACAGAGCACAAAGGAGAACAGCTAATCTCTATATAACAAGTTACATATGGCAGCTGAAAACAAGGCATTTTTACATCAAGAAGAAAAAGAAACCCAATTCCAAGACGTTAGGAAACTGTGTAAAACTAAAAACCGATTACAACAATTTACAAACCCCATAAACCAATAATTTTATTTACCGCAGAACACAGTAAATATCTCAAATGTTTAAACTGAGAAAATAAAAAATTTTAAGGAAAAATGTTTTCAAATTTTGAAGGTGATAGGAGCAACACCTCTGACAAAAGATAATTGGTAGAAAGGCAATAAAAGGCTGGAAAAAGTAAGTGGTACTAAGAAAAAACAGATGGAGGAACATTTTGCAACAGTTTTCTACAAAAAAACTCAACACAAAATTAAGAAGACTTTTAATATCTCATCGTCTACTGTACATAATATCAACAAAAGATTCTGAAATTCCAGAGAAATCTCTGTGCGCAACAGATAAGACTGAAAATATTGGATGTCTGTGATCTTCGGGCCCTCGGGTAGCACTGCATTAAAAACGGACATGATTATATCATGGAAATCACTGCATGGGCTTAGGAATGCTTCCTGAAATCATTGACTGTGAACACAGTTCACTCCGCCATCCGCAAATGCAGATCCAAGCTCTATCACACAAACAAGAATCCATTTGTGAACATGAGCCGTCTTCTCTGGGCCGAAGCTCTTTTAAAATGAACCGAGGCAAATTATAAAACTGTTCTGTGGTCGGAGGAATCCAAATTTTGCATTCTTTTTAGAAAGCAAGGATGAAAAATCCTCCAGAGTAAGGAGGGGAAAGACAATCAACACTCAGTTCAAAAGCCTCCATACCAGTTTTAGAGCAACATATGCACCTATCCAGACATCTTTTCAGCAAGACAATGCTAAACCACATACTGAACCTATTACAACAGCACAGCTTCATAGTAGAAGAATGTAGTGCTGAACTGGCCAGCCTGCTGTCCAGACGTTTCACCAATCGAAAAGATCTGGTGCACCATAAAATCAAACAGCTCAGCAGATCCAGGACTATTCAGCAATATATTTGTCTCCCAAATGTCAAGCAAGTGATGTAGACATCAGTTCCCAGATGTTTATAGACTGTTGTTAAAAGAAGACCGACTGCTACACAGTGGTAAACATGGACCTGTCCCAACATTTTTAAATTGTGTTGCTGCCATCAAATTGAAGAGAATCTTTTTCTTGAATGGTACATTTTCTTATTTTAAAACTCTGATGTGTTTTCTGTGATCACATTTTATTCTATTTAGACTTTACACAGCATCCCAACTTTTTTGGATTTGGGTTTGTATGTTATACTCACATTTGTATGTGTAATGGTCTTCGTCTATGTTATTTTGCAGGACATTGTGCCCGTGCATCACATTCTGCGGCCCTCCGCTTACACTCATTACTCTTAGAGTGGGGTTGTGGGGCACGAGCAGTCCAGGAAGGTTAACTTCACTTGTAGGAAGGAGAGCTCCGGGGTGATGGGAGTATGGCTTTAAAAAACAAGGAGGGAATAAGGTAAATGGACATAATTCTCCAGGACAGAACTGATGTGAAGCATAACATGCAAACATGATCTATTAAGTGCATCTAAGTTCCTCACTAGTATATGTATTCTAACATAAAACATTTTTTCTCCACTTTTCTATCTCTGCTGCTGTCCACGGTCCATGCAATGTGTCCACTACACCCTACACACTTGCCAGGGGACTGGGGATTAGATTGCTTGCTGTTCCACATATATAAGCATCTTATAGGCCAACAGTAATTACTACGCATAAATAACAACATTTACATTCAAGCAAAGCAGCTACAGGCACAGATTGAAAGTGACAACTCAGATGGCATTCATGAGAGTCAACAGAGGGAGGGCTGCATTTGTGTTTTTAATGAGAAAACCCAGGATCTCTGCTCATTTCCATACTTACGTCTAACAAGCAGAGGGGGGTCGTGTTGACCTGGCTAATAGGGGGTAAATCCACTGGTGCATTATCGGCCGGGCACATTTCATCTAATCAGCAGGATGATGCTAGCAGGCTTAGACCGCTTTTAATTCAGTGCTGCGGGAGAATTACTGTCCCGGTTTCTCATTACATGAACATTAAATCAGTCATACTAATATCAGTCATACTATTCAGGGTGGCTGTGGTCTGTGGTTTGGATGTTGGCATTTTGACTCTTCCAGCTGGACTACATCTTTCATGATAAGGCCCATTATGGCATTTTGCATACACAGTGTCTTCATTTGTACATTTGTAATTCAGTCAGAATTAAAATTCAACTAAAGTACAGTAGGAGAGGATAGGTGTTCGTATCTCAGCTATACACTAACCTTACATATATTTGTTAAAATTTCCAAAGACTGAGGTCAAGAGTGTTTCCCACCTCTCTTAGAAACAAAACAGAGGGAAATTGGAGTTTTGCTGGCTCAAAGCAAGAGTTAAAATGTATCTTAAACATAATCTTTGGAAGAAAAAATTACTGTGTAACATTTAACAGGTGTGACGACCCTACGCATTGGATCGAGCATGCATTTGTACAGTTCTCACTGATGAATCAGCATTGAGGAGTTCCACCCTGGTTCTTTCCTCCAGAGTGATGTCCACACCATCCAGGACCTGCAGCTGGGGCAGGCGAAGCACCACTGCTGGTCTGTGGACAGAATTGCGTGCCACCTGAAAAACAAAACAAAACAAAAAAACGAACAAACAAATGTTTCGTTAAACAGTCTGGCTATCAACCACTCCTCAGAAATATTAATTCTGGAGATGAGCCCAGTCTGCTTTGAGGCATCTGGGATAAATATGATGCTATGTGGCTCCCAGTGTATTTACCATGTTCCCAGCAGCTATTCCAGTGACCCAGCTGACAGCAGCACATAGATCCCTTCCCAGCTGAGGGCACCCTGTATGCCACGCTATACACCCAGCCTGTACAGCCACAGAACTGCCTGTTCCTGCAGGACACTTCTGCTTTGATGAGGTTGTGAGTGCATGCCAATGGATGTCCATTGAAAAAGGAGGAGACAGACTTTGGCTAGGGAACATAGCTAAAGGATCTCATGCGGTCAACAGCAGGAGGTATTGTCTCCAGGGTGGCTGTTGGCCTCTACCCCCTGGCAGGATTAACCCCACTACCACCACCACCCCCACCGCATGGGAACAGAAGGGGGATGAGATCGAGCAGTAAAGAGGCTACCGCAGCTGAGCATTACCCAGTGGACAATAGACAGGCCCTGGGCTGCAGGCACTGCTGAGGGCTGCATGAGCTCCAGATGGGTGATGTAACAGGGCCAATAGCACACAACCATTTGGTCAACGAATTTGTCTCTGATGCCAGCCAGTTTGAGGCACAGCAGACGGTCCATCGTGTAATCACTTAATTTGGAACCTCAGAATTACCCTGTGTTAGCGTATCGGATTGTGAAAATGAGAACTCGGCGTGCTTTTGATTATTTGTTCAAGAGATCGTGAGTTCAAGATATGTTCTGTGACTGACAGCAAGTGGATGCAAATAAAGACAGAACCCACCCAATGGACAAACTGCCTATAAAACTTGTTAATACTCACAGGATTGCCAACAACAGAGAGCTCCTTCAGTGAGGGAAGAGTTTCTAATTTGTCAAGCTCTGCGATGTCCTGCAAAGAAGTAGAGAGGCAAAGATTATTTCAAAGTTCTTTTTTACTCATAACCCCTCATTTAGCTGTTCCTTGCTATGTGTTGATAACAGAGGCATTTGCATCAGGGCTGAACCTTTCATAATTTTGGTGTGGGCAGGATGGAAGCAGCTGATGGGAGAGATTACATGTGTGAGCCCTCATTAATCTCATGAAAGACTTTGGGCACGCAACAGGCCATGGGGATGTTTTCTCTCATTCCCAGCTTTATACTCGGACTTGGCTGTGATTCAAAGACGCCCCCACTGTGAGGAATAACGCTCTGGATGATTGCTTTATTTCTATGTCTTAATTGAATGCGTGAAAACATTAAGGAAGTGATGGGAAGAAGGAACCGGCAACAAAAGTGCAAATCACTCGCTCTGTGTGAGGAGATGCAGCCCGAGAAGCTGATTACACGTTGTCCTGATTGTTCCCCCTGATTCTTTATACACACAGCCGTGACCTTCAATCAAACTTGATTCTCCTTAATGCGACCCCTTGCATGCCACAGTGGGTAGTAATGACTCATGATTACTATACTTCAAGTCTTACTTTGCAAATGCAGGGAAAAGTAATACTGCTGCACAGTGAACAAAATACATCTGACACATGTGAACCAATCAGTAAAAGTTGGTAGTAAATCGCAAAACTGCACAAAAGATGGCTGTGACCTCGGCGGTGACCTCAAGAAATCACGGCGTTCTGAGTTATTCATGCAGTTTAATTGAATATGCCGTTTCATTAAAATTGTGAATATAAACATTTTTTAAAAATCTAGCATGCGAGGAGGCTGCTACTACTACCTCTGCTGAAGCTGAATACCTGCAGCTTGTTCATGTCGAGGGAGAGCTTGCGAAGCTCAATCAGAGGATCGAGATGGTTCAGCTCCCGGATCCGGTTCTGTGCCAGGTGCAGCTCTAGGAGGAGAGCCTGGGCTGCGAAAGAGTTCTTGGTCAGAGTTTTAATCCGGTTTCTGTTCAACACAAGCTCTCTGAGTTGGTGAAGCCCTTCCAAGCCTTCCACTTGGTTTATCTCATTGCCTGTTGAGAGACCAAACTTTAGAAAATCAAAACGAACAGACATCCCAAACAGTACCCTAATATTTCTATATACTAACTACTAGAGTAAATTGCACACCCTGAAGAATATAAAAGGCAGAATTTTAGGCCCATATAAACACTTCTTGGGTATTTCTTGCTTGACTCGGCTGTAAACAGTGCTGAAATTACAAACCAAGCTTCCAAAGGTTTCTAAGAAAGAAAAGTAGGGTTGGCTTTGTGGGACAAATCACCCCAGCAAAGCAAAACTCAATCAAAAGCCATCAAAAGCTGTTGAAAAGAAAGTCAATCATTCTTTTCTTTGCGTCTCATCCCCCACCTGGCCTTAGGTCTATAGGGGAGACTTTGCTCTTTGCGCTTGCCTTTTCACAGCCTCTGTGTAGTGCACTTTTAAACGGCTTGCAGAGAAAAGGGTGGCAACGTCAACCATACATACCTTCGAGGAAGAGTGCTTTAAGATTGGTGAGCCTGCTGAGCTGCAGATTGGCCATATTGGAGATGCCATTGTGACTCAAATGAAGCACCTCCAGGCTTCCCATCAGTGGCTCCAGGCTGCCAGTGGGCCCAGTATCCCTTAAACGCAGTTAGAGAAAGGCCGTTTGAAATCTCGGTGGTTAAACGAGCACCTCGTTGTCCCTCCCGCTGCCACGTCTAACTGGTCAGACCTCACAGGTGCAGACCACATCAAGGCAATCACAGTCTGGCTAAACAAATGGATGGCTCTCACAGCACTACATTGTGTTGTGGTTCTGCACAACAAATATTTCATCTAATGTTTATATTAATCTACAGACTAAATAGGTTTTAATTGTTTAGTTTATTGTAGTCTTTACCTCAAAGGAAATGCCCCATTTTAAATGCTTACTTTTTTTTATATATTAAAAAAGAATTTCTCTGACTGAAACTCTGACTACAAATAAATTCATCATAGTTTGCCAGCAGCTTCTGTTAAATTTAAGGCAGCTCACACATTGGCTGGTCAGTGCTGCCCCCTCATGGTTAGACTGCACAAAACTCTATTGAAATACTTTTAAAAGAAGCTTGTTTTTGCACAAAACCCATAAATAAAACTACACTAGATTACCTGCTGGCTTTAGATGTGCTCTGTTGGCTGTAGCCACTGGAGTGCACTTTGCTGTATAGTATCTGTCTGCTTGTCAGATGAGTCTGAGTCTTCTGCCTGGGCAGAATTGACTCTATGTGGTTATAGTTGAGACACAGAGCCTGTAAAGAATACAACATAAATAATTTCTTTGAACATGATGCATTTCCAGCCAGTGTATTACAGTGTACTGGCATTTGGTGCACTGTGTACTTTGATGTTGGGCAGGTGGATGAGGCCTGAGAAGGATGTGAGGTTGCTATGGTCTAAGTTGATGCAGCGCACATTACGGAAGAGTTCTGGTGGAGACAGATCAACTATCCTGTGGGAAAAAAATATATTTTTAAGGCTTTATCTTTCTTTATAATCTCTTTTATTACAACACTGTTATTACCTAATGGAACAGGCCTGAAGGTTTAGGTGTGTGATTTCTGTGTAGTTTGAGTGGCCCAGCTTCTCTGCCACTGTGTCGGTGGTCAGTCTTCCCATAAACATATTCTTTGCACTCTCACACTCACTTGCTTCCTAGAGAAAACAGCAGAAAAGAAGAGAAATTACAAAATACTGGAAACAACCGCTGTAATATGACTTTTTAAGCTCATACCACTGCAATTCCATCCAGAGCTTTGAGGAAGGGGAGATGAAACACTACATATATTCGATAGTTTTCCAGTTTCTCCACTAAAGGGTTCCCACAGAGATCCAGGATGAGGAGGTTTGTCAATCCCTGAAAAGCAAAATGGTCACATAAGCTCACATAGTAAAATTAATTAAAATTAAATTCTACTCTTCTTATTTCACCTTCTCATCCATTTTTAAATGTTAACTAGATGCTCACTTTCAGACAGTAGATGTCTCTTGATGTAGAGATCTGGTTGCTGCCGATGTAAAGTTCAAGGAGAGACCGAAGTCTCTGGATGCCATGAAGAGAAGCAATACAGTTGTTCTCAGCTGACAGAAAAGACAAGCTGGACAGCCCGTCGAGAGTTGAGACGTCCAGACTGGTTAGCCGATTCCCATCTACACTCAGTTTATTTAGGCAATGGAGTCGTGTGAGGCCTGAGGAAACAGTGACCAAATACAGACATGGAAACAATGACGGCACTGTGTGATTTCTCCTTGGGAAGCGGAGAGTGCGACTGACCACTGAGTGTGCAAATACTGTTGTTGTTTAGGGACAGTTCTTCCAGCTTCAGGCAGTTGTCCAGACCCTCGACTTTTGAGATCTCGTTATCATTAAAGGAGGCCCAGCGCAGGTTCACCAGCTTACTTAGATTGATCATCTTGGAAATCCTCTGGTTGTCAAGGTTCAGGGTGGTGATCTGGTCAGCAATTTGGTAGACACAAAAGGTAACAAAGATCAACATCATCCCACCTAGTACCGCTCCTAAAAACGTCTTTACTGAGAAGCCCACATGCTGAAGCTCACTTTTGCAGTCCAGTCTTGGTCCAGTTCTTTACCAAGGCCCCAGGGTGATGGACTCAAATGATACAGGAGCTGGGCTGTTGACAGCAGACTAAGAGTGCGGGGACGGTCACTCTTGGTACGCGAGTGTGCCAGAAGAGACGCCTACGAGCAGTGTCAACGAGTCTGACTGAATTACCATACTTCACTTAAAACATTTACTTTAATCCATCAATTTTGGATTTGTTCATATAAACAACGTCTCTTTACATAGATCAGCTCAACCAAATAAAATCTAGTATATAAAAAGAAATATTGACAAAATCTTCACCTGGTTAATTTTGGACCCAGCTGCCATCTGAACAGCTTCAGCAGCCTCCTCCTCTGCTACCAGCACATCATCCAGGTGTGTGAGGTTCATGAGATGGCCTAGTATGGTCATTCTGACTGCCTCGGGCTGGAAGAAGGGAATCATCTTCACTCAGTCACTTCTACAATTTGAGGCCACTTTCAGTGGTATAGTTTGAAACATAGACTCAGATTCATATTTTTAACATACATATTCTGAGCATATACGTAGTATTACTATTGCTGAGGTTCAACCTTGAATATTTCGAGTTATTTTTTCTATTTGATCACAGCACACACCCTGTTCCAAGGATTGTATCGGGTGTCCAGTTTCAGCAGAGCAGGTGTGTGTTTTCTGAGCACAGCTGTATCCTCTCTGACCTTGGTCAGCTTGTTCCAGCGCACATCGAGTTGTTTGAGCTGTCCCAGCCCCCGCAGACCTTCCAGAGTCACCAGGTGGTTAAAGCTAGCGTCCAAAAACTCAAGATTTGGCTGTAGTTTAGGTAAGAGAGCAGGTGAGAGTTCCACTTTATGGCAATGCAGCCACTATTCAGTTTCACAAATAATAGAGAGGGACATCATAAAAGAAGCATTCTTTGACTTAAACACACTCTTAAGTGTTATCTTAACATTATTTTGTATTACCATGTGAGAAATGTCATCAAGGTGCGTGAACTCATTGAAGCTGACAGTAAGATGCCTTAGAGCCGTGAGGCTGGAAATCTCCTTTATGTTGCTCAGGCTGTTGCCATGAAGGTTAAGCACCTGGAGATTCAATGCAACAATGATGGTTCAAACTGAAATGAAACTGCTTCATATTCAACCTCTTATTTAAAACGGCAGAGCACTTACTGTGATTTGACTGAGGACATTGGCTCGGGCAACACTAAGCAGAATTTTATCATCCAAGCTCAATAACTTGGGCTGAGGTTTAAGAACAGGTTCCCTGTTGAGGACCTCTTTGTCCAGAGCAACATCATTGGAAGGATCTCTGTCTGTGCTATGGCTCAGCAATGTAGGTTTGTCTTTGTCCTAGACAAGGCAAATCAAAATGTTTACAACATGTACTGCCAACAGATGCATTTTTTTAACTTCTTTTTTTAAATTAATATTATAATTAATAAATATGACGTCTAGATAGATAGGTGGGGAGCAACCAACACATACTCATCATAATTCATGCACAGAAACATAACCTGCACAAACAATTGCACTTTCATGTTTCTAAACTCTTAGTTTAGTTTAGTTTCCCACATGAAAACAAACCCATCAAATCAAGGGATGTAGCGCGAAAACTGCAGCTCAGCTGTCTGATCTCCAACCTCAATAAAAAATGTCCTTCATCTATTTAGAGGCTTCCAACCGATGCAGCTGACTCTTAGAAATAATGACGGCGGATATTTTAGATCTGTCACAGGCAGCAGATGATTAACCTGGTCTGTACAGACAAAAGTAAACACATTACATGTCAATAATTGAAGATCCAAAAGTCAAACTCCAGATCTGCCCTCATTTTTTCTGAATAGGAACTTTAAGTGCTTGATCTATGGCATCCAATTCACAATGAATGCGTTGAAGGTAAGCTGAGGTTCAGTACCTTGCCCACGAAAAACATGGGCATCACCAAATTTGTGATTACTAAATAACCTGCACTTCCTAAATCACAGGGATTGAAACTGAGATTTAGGCATGTTATCGCTTTAAATAATGCAGCAATTTTTCAATATCTAAATATTAAAAGATGAAGAAACACCTCCACAGAGAACAATTGTGTTTCATCTGTAACAGTCAAAGGAATGTATGCAATAATTTACCTGAGTGATGTATTCATAATATATGATGTACTCGGGCAGGACAAGCTCGTGGTCAAACACAAACCACTGCCTTCGGCGGGGACTGGACTCAAGATCAGTGTGTGTTTTGTTGGAGCCGGATCTTTCTGAATGAAAAGGACACAGAGATGTAAAAATAATTGGGAGTGAAGAAACAAGCAACAACAATTACAAAAAAGGCAACTGCTGTTGTTCCTTTTAATTCAGTGAATACCTTCACTCATTGCAGATCTGTGCTTTGTCTCCACACTGCGATACACAGAGTAAACTCCAGGATAATTGCTTCTGTCCACCGGTTCTCCATCTCGGATGTGCATGCTTTTACCCACGAACACTTTGGAAACATTGACCTGACCTACAAGCAAAAGAGCATTAGCAGTTTAGCTTCTAAAAAAACAGCATAAAAACATAATGAAATGAATGAAATCTGTAAAATGACCTCACCGTGCCTGAAGGGAATCGTATCCATGCTGTGTTTAGTGTGACTTTGGCTGGTCTGGCGAAGTGTGTACTCAATTCTGGACTGCTCGTTCAAACTCAGGCTATTGGAAAAAGGTATAGCACCCTCTTTTCCCATGGCCTAATTTAGAGAGTCATCGCGTAAAAAAGTGAAAGCGTGAGAATAACACAAGTCAAGCATATTCTTCTGTAACCCTAATGTGGTTACCTCTCCATACAGACACAAATCAGGCACACATAAAGTTTCACACAAATATAAATTTCCCTCATTTTAGTATTCATTGCAATCTGCTCCATAAATGAGCGTGATAATTTCTTTTTGCACATATCGTTTACTGCACTGTGTACAAGTGTGCAGGCGTTGAGTGATAAACTCTAATGTGTGGCTAATTAGCTTCAATTACTCCCCTAATTGTTAGTAGAATAAATGTGTGTGATAGGAGCTTGTGCATCCTTTCTGGTAGCACACATACCTTCTGCTGCTCTGTTGTTTTGAAGCCTTCCTGGAGAATCTGCAAAGTTTCATCCTTCTCACATTTTTCAGGGTCAACTATGTAGAATAAATACTCCAGCTGACGTCTGTAATTCCTGCTTAGAAAGAATAGAGTTACAGTATGAAGCTTAACATAGTTGTTAAAAATCTGCTCATCATCTGTTTCGTGCCTTACTGGGAAGATAAATCTTCGCTGGCTAGCAAACGGTGAATCTTGTCCTCAAAGCAAAGTCTCAGTGCACTATTGTGGATGCGGATAACTCTATTCACCCTAATATCAGTGATGCCATACGTTTTGTAGTCTGATGGAGAGAAGCGGGAAAGTAGGAGGTCACAACAAGAAGTAAACCTGTCGGTCAGAGCAAAAGAGAAAAGAAGGAGAGTATATTTCCCATTTGTTACTGTGAATTGCATAGTGGTTACAGTTACAGTGGATGATACTGAACAGTAAAAGTACCAAGGATCTGTGGAGCAGCCCTCCTCCAAACGGATATTTCCAACACTTTCTAGCTCCATCAGTAGAAACTGCACCGTATACTCCATCCTATTTGTGGCTCGGGCCAAATCACGCTCGTACCAGATGTGAATCCTGAATATAAGATTAGGAACATCAATTTTTCAGATTAAAAGTTTCAGTTTAGCTCTGTGCTGTCCCCTAAGAGATCAATTTACATAAAGCAATGATACACTGTCTCTGTATCTCATCAAAAATGCAAACTCACTCATCTAGCCTCCTGGTCCATAGTTTGAGTCGTTTCCTCAGCGCTTCAATCTTAGCGTGTACTTTGTGCTCCGTGGCTGGATCCTGACTTATGCCACTGATTGATTCATTTCTTTCTGCTAAGCCTTCATCCAGGTGTGGTGGCCCTTCTTCTACGCTTTCTGACAGGCAGGTAGGTTTCTTGCAAACAACTGGCCCCACGGAGAGCTCACGTTCGAGCTAGAAATGCATCCAAATTATAATCGTTCTGTGCACACAAACACCTGAAGCTTTTTAGAGCTGCTACAAAAAGACATTTTATGGAGAGTACATACAAATTTAAGGGCACGAGTGAGAGTCTTGATGCATTCTTCAGGTGACTGCGATAGAGTTTTCTTCCTCTCTATCAGACTGAGCCGGGTCTCTGCTAGTTTCCTCTGAGCTGTGCGTACACGCATATTGTAGTACATAATTTTTTTCATCACTGCAGACTAAACGAAAAATGAAAAAAAAAACAATTCTTATTTCAGGCTAAAACAAAATAACAGATCCATCAAATATAACTGTTAAATATCTTTGTAAAAAACAAAAATATCAAATGTGGCAGATTAAAGAAAGAAAAAATAGAAAAACAAGAAAACAAAATACATCCACTAAAAAATATAGCTTGTTTTTATAGAAACCTAGAAGAAATACCATAAGGCAGGGGTGTCAAACATAAGGCACAGGGGCCAGAATCAGCCCACCAAAGACTACAAACTTGCCCACTGAATGGCTCTGGAAATGTGAAGGACATACATTTTAGAATTTTAACTGTATTTTTAAAAGTTTTGGAGCTTTTAATACAGATAAACACCAAATCAAATAAATAATACACAAAAACAGAAAGCTCCTGTTTTTTACCACTATAGAAATTTAGGCGTTTTTAAAATATATTACTAATATTTAGGTATTTATTCACAGACAAAGGAAAAAAAACATTCTGTCAATTAACAATTTTTTTTAAATTTTATACCAAACTTTTTCTGTAATTTTACAAATTTATTTCAAACAATTTAAACCCAAAGCAGCATAAAAAAAAAAGCTTGGATCTTATCAGTACCTCAGCTGCTTCCTTGATTTGCTTGCTGGAGACGTCGTAGATGTCGAGTCGCTGGAGGCTTGGCACGTGGTAAAGAATGTGCGTGTCATAGTTACAAAGGAGACACACCGGATTTGGGGTTGACGTGGGGTCTTTCAATGCTAACTCACTCAGACGGGGCAGTCGGGCAAGCTGGCTCAACTCCTGTTACAGGAAAAGATTCAAGACTCAAGGTCAATTTTAAGGCTCTTATAATGGGCAGGCCTCAGCTTACATCAACAATCCCATTTGTCCACATCCAGCTCCCAGATCTCTCCGATCCTACTGGCAGAGATCTCTTACACATCCCAAGGTCATGTTTCAAACAAAAAGGTGACAGAGCCTTTGCAGCCGCTGCTCCACGTTTGTGAAATCAATTACTGCATGACATAAAAAGACCACCCCCCCCATCTCTGCTTTTAAGTCTAGGCTCAAAACCACCTTATTCTCTGACCTTTCCAGTCCCCTAAGCTCCCCTCTGCTTGTCGTCGTTATGTGTCTGCACATTTGTTGTTAGCCCTTTGATCTGTACTCTGTCTTCAATTTTTACTTTTTTATTTGATGTTTGTAATTACATGTGGATGCATGTATATAGGATTACTCATTTGTACAAAACCTGGTCAATGAAAGCTATGTTTACATGTGATTTCTAAATAAATATTATTTACTTACTAGGACAGCAAAGTTTCTGCATATCCTAAGTACGTTTACCCTAAAGGACACTTTTTTTTTT